TAAATTTACTGTTAATTTTTTTTATGAAAATTATTGATATTTTGTCTCAACAATACCATCCACTAAAAAAATAAATAAATATATTTACATTTAATTTGGAAAAAAATGGTTATATTTTATTTGAATATTTCATATCTTTAAACTTTTATTCGTTGGCGAATTTATACTCCGATTCTTATAAAATTTAATAGAAAATTATGCATAAATTGAGAATAAAATGGGAAAAAGGGTCGGGTCAGGGACGAGAAAATCATCTTTATCTGTAGCTTCGCTACGTAGACACCTTTATACCNTTCCAATTTATGTAGGTAAAAAAAAAAAAAAAAAAAAAAAAAAAGAAATATATATATATATATATATTATATTTTTTAGAAAAATTACCAATATTAAATTTAAGGACTAAATTATTAAAAATTTAAAAAAATATTTATAGACTAAATTATTAATTTACAAGATTATTTTTTACCTTTTTACCCTAATAATCATTAAAAAATATATATATTTTTCCGTACCTTTCATCTTGCTGTAATTATACGATTGTTAATTAATTATTTGATTTTGATTTACCCAAATTAATATAATTTATTATTTAGTTATAATGAATCAATAACATTAATAAAAATATATTTAATTTATTATTTTATCAATAAATATATTTAATAAGTAATTTATGATTATTTACAAATATTATTAATTCGTTAATTAGTTAACAACATTTTAAATATATTTAATAAGTAATTTATGATTATTTAAGTTAAGTTAATACAAAATTTTATTTTCAATAATTATAATTATAATCAACTAATTATCCCTTGAAATAAAAATCTTGGAAAAATAAAATACAAGCTGTAAAATGTTGGGAAGAAAAAACAAACCTTGGGTAAATGACTATTTTAACCCTAATTTTTTCGGTTCAATAATAAGAGTGAAAATTTGATTTTCTGATCGAGAAAAAAATTAATTTTATATCCTTAAAACCGTGATCAATTTAACCTAAACTTTAGTAGAACTCATGAACCGACTTAACATTTATTGAACCCAACCGTATCGATTGAATTGGGTTGATCGGACTTTTGAACACCTTTACTGACAATAAAAAAATGACATTATTTTTTAGGTGGTCAAAATTTATAACCGATACACTAAAAGAAAATTATTTAAATATTCGTGGTGTAATAATAAAAAATAAATTACCTAATTAAATGAGTATATTAAAATTTTTTGGAAGAATGTATGGATAGAAAATTTAAAATTTTGATGGGAGGTAGAAATTAAATAATTTGTTGATAAAATTACAATTTTACCCTAATAGTTTCAAAACTTCCATTTATATATATATTATTGATTGAAAATGTTTGAATAGTTCAGTTGATTAATATTGTATCAACTACGAGTAAAATGTATTTGCAAAACAAGAAGAACTGATATCGATGTAGTACTAACGCACTTATAACTGACACTCTTTGAAAATCTCGTTTAACTGTCGAGACGTCATAATTACATAACGCTCTTGTTCAATACACTTTGAGCTCAATAGAAGCTTCCGAGAGCCAAAGAGTTGAGTATTAGCTAACACTTGGCCTCTTTCTCATCTTTCAGGTTGATTTCGCTTCAAGATTCATTAAATTGATTGGTATCTCGATCGACCTTAGTGGCTTTAAGAATCACCCCTAAAGGATTGGTTACATTGCTCCGTCGAAGTAGGTTTCAACCAAACTAGCCTTAAATCCTCGAGATGTCGAAGGGTCAAACAAACTGGCATAGGCCTACACCGTTACGAGATTGACCAAATGGGTTCGGTCCAATTTGTTGGATCAACCTTTCGAGAGTTCGACCGGATTTAACCTCGTGACTCTTAGTTATCTTATCCTCAAAATCAATCTCATTCGAACGTGGTATCGGTTCATTCAAGTATTACTCTTTTACTCTGGTGTCACACAGTTAAAAATATCATTATAGTTAGTATTTTGTTTGAAAAAATACTCCGAACTTTTAAAAATCATATTAACGCCTTTAACTTTTCTTTAAAAAAAAAAGTTCAAGAAAGTTCTTATCGTCTATCTACGTTTCACAGATTATCTCCTTCTTCAATTTTAAGGGTATTAACGGTAACGATATTCTACATATTGTTTTATAAAATTTAAGAGTAATTTTGAAACTAACACGGACGGTGTTGTCTATATACTAATAAAAATAATATTTTTTTTACTCTTCGGACAAATTTTTAAAATATTTTTGAGGTATTCAAAAAGTTTAAAGGTATTAATGAAACTTTTGGAAGCTTTACGGATAATTTTAAAACCGATTATTAAGAGTTTAATTCAAAACTAATTGTATCTTAAGTTGCGTTTAAATAATAATAATAACAATCATTTAGACATTTTTCTCTCCGGCTGAGAAATTTAAGAGAGTGCGTCGAGAACGTGTAACTCGATGAAGAATACACTAGAAAAAATCCCGAAAAGTCATTATTTAATGAAGACGTAGGAGATTATATCGAAAAACTGAAAAGTATCGATGAATTTAAATGTCCAACTTTCTAGATTTATCTAAATAAACGGTCTTCATGTTAAGGTTTCCACGTTTACGACACTCTTTAAAAAACAAAAAACAAAGTCGTGAGAGCTTCTACTCAAAACGGATAATATCATATCATTATGGAGATATATGGAGCGTTAGTATCTCTAACAAGTGGTATCAAAGTCATACCCCTCACTTAACCATGTTGGTAAAATCTTCGGGTGCTGAACAAAGAAGTTGTGGTCTCGAAGATGTACTCATAATGAAAATTAATAGTAGTTGGTATCGGATTGTTGGAGTACCACATTGACTAAGTAACAGAAAGATTATAGGTACATAAGTGAGAGACGCTATCTCTATTGGTATGACGTTTTTTAAGAGAATAAAAAACAAAGGCATGATAGCTTTGTTGGTAAAATTTTCAAGTGTCGAATAAAGAAATTCGAGCTTTGAACGTTGAACGTGTACTCATAGTGGAAATTCTAATAAAGGCAAATTAACAAGACGTTTTGTTGACATTTTCGTCGTGGTTGATTTTTGAAACTATAATGGATAAGAAATTAAGAAAGAAATTTAGTGCATTGTTGTTGTTGAGTTGATGAGTCAAAAGTAGTTGTTCTTTACCTAATATTTGTTGGCCACACATGTCTATGAAAGTCGTGAGCCTATATCTCATCTCTCTCATTGGCTACCTTCACATCCAACAAAGCTCCATGCCCACCACTAATTCCCATTATATTTTCAACATTTGGTATCATAATCGAACACGTAAGGGGCGTTCGGAGGTGCAAATATCCTTAAATACGACGAATCTTACCTCTTGTTTTGAAGATTTTTTTTTTTTTTTTTTTCCGGTTTTGTTTGATCTTTTTTTTTTTTGTGTAAGTTTATTTGGTTAAATTTTGTGATACTTTAGATTCAATGAATGTGTTTAAATTTTAAATTTATCGATGTATGATAATTGAGTGCAAGTGCTGGTGGGGTTAGTTTGATTCTTTTGATCATCTTTTCGGGTGAGACAAAGAAGAAAAAAAATAATGATGAAAAACGGAAAGGGGGAGAATATGATTATCTATAAAGTGAATCATTAGATGCAAAAGAAAATAATAGGTCATCGTCATATATGACTTTTCTATATTATAAACATATACCGAAAATTCTTCTCTGCCTACTTAAGGTAAAATGAAATTTAAACCACTCGAATTTAAGGAAGGAACTTTCGTATATGAAAAAAATTAAAAAATTTACGATACTAAGCACTTCATTTATAGTCATTAAAATAATAAAAGGAAATCTAGGATCAAACTAATCGACCAGATTTTCCTTTTTTAGCTCAAGGAGTAGAATATCAAATAATTGCCTTTTGAGATTGAGTAACAAGTTATGCTGGTAAGGTTGATTTGGGTCAGGTCAAGTAGTCGGTTTCATTCGGTTCAGTTTTGTTCGTTTAAAAGAAACACAATTTTGGCATCAGTTAGGGCGAAAACGAGCCGAAAATCGATCTCAACCAACACCCTTGGCACAAAGCAAACGACTTGATTTTCACTTTGATCACAGTCCTAGAACAGAAGAATTTCTTGATTTAACTATCCAAAACTAAACCAAATCAAGACAGCTAACACAAGATCAATGGATTCAGATACAAACATTTGTTCCATAGGAATCTGTACCTGCTTTGAAACTGGTATGGTTTGAAATGAAATACCAATCTAAATGAAATGAATATAGTTCTAATCTTACTTTAATCTTCAAGAACTCCCATCTCACAAACAGCAGAAGAATATCAGAAGATAATGCAAATCATACTTCTCAAACTGAAAAATGAAACTTCCATTTTAGAGAACATGCATGTAACCGTCTATAACCCTACCGCTAGTAGATATTGTCGTCTTTGGACTTTCCCTTTCGGACTTCCCTTTAAGGTTTTTAAAACGCGTCTGCTAAATAGAGGTTTCCACGCCCTTATAAAGAATGTTTCGTTCCCCTCTCCAACCGACGTGGGATCTCACAATTCACCCTCCTCCACACTTAAGGATCCAGCGTCGTCGTTGGCACTCGTTCCCTTCTCCAATTGATGTGGGACCCCCTAATCCACCCTCTTTTTGGGTCCAGCGTCCTTGTTGGCACACCGCCTAGTAACCACCCCTTTCGGGGCTCAGCCTCCTCACTGGCACATTGCCTGGTGTCTAGCTCTAATACCATTTGTAACAGTCCAAGCCCACTGCTAGCAGATATTGTCCTCTTTGGGTTTTCCCTTTCGGGCTTCCCCTCAAGATTTTCAAAACGCGTCTGCTAAGGACAGGTTTCCACACCCTTATAAAGAATGTTTCGTTCCCCTCTCCAACCGATGTGGGATCTCACAATGCATCACCAAATAATAATAATAATAATAAATGAACAGCAAAAGTTGTTTTTTTTCTTCACTAACTTCTTCATTTTAATTGTTCCTCAGTTTCTTCAGGTTTTGATATGAACTCAGATATAGAATTGCAGAATTTAGATGAAAACAAGGTTGCTCATTGAGCATAATGGAAACGATTGCATACCGACCGACCTCTAATCCACGAATCGACTTTAAGGTCTCTTCTTGCTAGATTCTTTGACAAACAAAAAACTCATAAATACAGAATAATCTCAGTCATTACATGCCTTAAAAGCACTCACAGATTGGCAATTTATGAACTTGGACTTACCTCGTTCTCCTTTGAATTACTTCCAAATATCCCTTGGTCCAAGTTTTCCTAAGACAATCAAATCTAATTAAACTTGAAAACAACTGAACTGTAATTATCCACAGCTAAAAGAAGAAAACAAAGTTCCAAACCTGGGATGACTTTCTCAAACAATCAAGGGCTTCAAGTAACCGAACTACGATAGATTCTGGTTTTTATTTCTTTGCTTAAGTCACAAAACCAGCACGAGCCACCTCCCGTAGCTCGTTATGAAGCAAAGAAAGTCAGAAGTTGCACTGTTAAGAGTCATAGTTCAAGATGAAGGAGAGAGCATATCCTAATTCCTTATTTTTCTTCTTCCCTTTTTCTTTCTATAACAAAACTTCACTTGTATCAGTCTTCTCATACTTCCTATTCGATCGATCGGATTATGTCTTCGAGTCACCAAAATATACAATAAAGAGTCTAAAATGCACTTAAAAAAAAAAAAAGGCATCATGCTTCCCTATGTTGTACGTGTACCATTTAATTTAAACAAGCTTATAAACACCTTGATTAATTCCGTTGTAACGACTACCGAACCTATAGCGTTTTCCTTCAGAAAACTTATGATGTTTATTTAATATTCTAAGTAGGGTGGCCACCAATGATTTAATTCAGGGCCTCAAACTGTCTCCATTTCCAGCTTGCCTCCTCAACCACAGTAACCCAAGGTGGTTTATTGTGTTGTTTTCTATTCGATCTCAATTTCTTCACCAAATAATCTATTGATAAATGATAACTCAAATAATAATTTGATTACAAGTTTCCTAAGTTCTTAAAAGTAGAAACAAATGTAGTGGTAGTGCAATTCATCATCAAAGCAACTCTTAACTATGAAATAAGCTGTAAACCAGTAATATGCCTTAAGCCTGACCTCTAGGAAGTGTAGTAAAGACAGCATATGAAGAATCAAACATCGGCTTCCAAATAATAGTCCTCAGCATGTTGACTTAAAGCAGTTGTATTAACTAAGTGGAAGCATCAATTGCATACGCTAAATTAAGAAGTTTCAAGAATCCAAACAAAGGGTTATCATCATCAATCCAGGGAAATTTTTATTGCAATAAAGTATCAAGGTGTTGTACTTAAAGAAACTGAAGATCAAATATACTTGTTTCTTCACATCGGTTGGAGAGGAAAATGAAACATTCCTTATAAGGGTGTATAAACCTCTTCCTAGCAGATGCATTTTAAAAAATCTTGAGGGGAAGCCCGTAAGGAAAAACCCGAAAATGACAATATCTACTAGCGGCGGACTTGGACGGTTAGAAATGGTATTAGAGTCAGACACCGAGCAGTCTACCAGCGAGGACGCTGGCCCCCAAGGGGGGTGGATTGTGAGATCTCACATCGGTTGGAGAGGAGAATAAAACATTCCTTATAAGAGTGTGGAAACCTCTCCCTAGCAGATGCGTTTTAAAAATCTTGAGAGGAAGCCCAAAGAGGACAATATCTGCTAGCGATGGACTTAGGCTATTACACACTAACTTCGAAGTTAGTGCCTCAGAGATTGAGACCTTTTATTTTATTTTCATGTCATGTCATGCTATCAAAAACAATGACCAAAATGAACAACCATTCAATATATTTCAAATTGTAAACTGAACATATTAATTTAATAAAACATTAAGATATGTGTTCGAATCTTCGGATGAGCTTATAACGAAAACACTCAATATCTCCAAAGTCGGCCTTGACCAAGTAAAAACATAATATACATGTTAAAAGGGCCATATCATATATTCACTAAGAAATGAATCATACCATTATTATCAATCAGCTTACAGCTCAGTAAGAACTCAGTCATGAACATCAGCCACTTTCTCCAAGCCTCCTTTCCCTTCATTCAACAAAGCCAAGCTCTCAACATAAGTATCTAAATAGAAAGAACCCTCACCACCATAAATTCCAAGACCCTTCATAAGCTGGTTTTCAGGCCTATACAAAACCACTTCTTCACTTTTAGATTCCATAATCATCTCTCCATTTTCCCTAAGACCCAACACCATTCCCAACTCCTGAGACGGTTCGAAGCTGGTTAATTTAGTCCAAGACTCAGGCATGTCATAGTTATGCAGCACCCAAACAGAACACACATATGTTTCAAAACAGTACCAGCCACACAGCATGACAGAAAGTGCTCCTCCTAGTACAGAAACTTTCAAGTCACATGGTGAGCTATTAACCAAACAATGAGGCAAAGTTACTAAACTGAAACACTCCTCAACTATATCAAATCTCAAAATGAAACACTTATAACCCCTGCTACTTTCCCTGTAAGCAACCCAATGAACAGCCCCATTGAAAAAAGCTTGTGTCCATTCTGATTTAACTATTTCACAACGAGGAGCTTTGCTTTCAATTACCCTCCAACAACCTGTTCTAACCTCATACAACTCAACTTTAGGAGATCTTTTATAATTAAAAGGACTCTTATCTTCAAAATATAACAATCTTACCACCTTGTAGTCGTTGGCCCGAGAATCGAAGCCAAACCCGAGTGCAAATTTATCTGGGGCATCATAGATGGTGATAATATCGCTTGTTCTAAGAACAGCTACGACTCTTTGAATTGATGGATTCCACAAGAGAATGTCGAGACCAGACAAGCAAACCAATCCATTGCAAATACCCACTAACTTGAAATCCCCATTCCAATTGATGAATGGAAATTTCAATTCCTGGTATAGATCCAATGTTTCTGTGTCGAAATGAAGCGAATACCGCTCTTTCTTCTTGCTTCCTGTGCCAAAATACCGCCTGAGAATCAGCCATTTCTTGTTGCAGATTGAAGACTTGTTGAAGTGGGCGTTGATGAAAATTGGATCAGAGATGGCAGCGCGCCATGATTTTGAGACGCATGAACAGAGGACAAGGGTTTTTGGAGGAAGTTTCAGAAAGATGTTAAATAAGACTTCCTGTGGAAGATAATCTGCCATTGCTAAGAACCATTGAAGAAATATTCAATCGAAGAATTGAGAAAGAAAACCTGTAAATTTTCGAAGGGTTATTCGCAGCGATTTTTGGAGAAGAAATTGAATAGAGATGTGCTAATGGTGGAAGCGAAGAACAGAGCAGGGGAATTCTGTACTTCTATTGCGATGGCGGTTAAAATAAAATAAAATAAAAAATTAATTAATTAATTAAATCAATAAAAATATACGTGGGGTCGGGTTGTTCCAAAATTATTGTTCTTTTATTATTATTATTATTTTTATTTTTTTATTTTATTTTATTTTATTTTATTTTTTTTTAGTGAATCAATTGATATTAGACTGAGTGAATTTCAACTTTTAACCATTTTCATAATATAAATTCAAGTCGATTTAAGGACTCAAAATCTTCGTCTCACCGGTTTAAATCTGCTATTGAAAATAAGGATAATGTGTAGGAAATGACCCGTATTACTCAATTGGTAGAGCAGAGGACTCAAAATCTTCGTGTTACTGATTCAAATCTTCTATGAAAATAAACAAAAATAATCTGTCGGAAATGGCCGATATAGCTCAGTTAATAGAGTAAATCATAGTTGAAAATAGGATTACAATCCAACCCTACTTTTAAGATTATTAAGAAAATTAAGAATATTTAACGTTTGTAACTTGTGAATGTTTGTTAAAATAATAAAACAAAAAGCATCGGGACAACTCAATTCAACGCAAAAACATATAATTAGACTCTGTCATGAACCTTATTCGAATCGATGCGAGTCACCAACCCAATCAATCCAACCCGTGTACACCAATACTTCAATTCATTCAACTACTTAAATCGAAGAGTATAAATCGAGATTCCGATTAAGAATTTCAACACAACTTATTACATTCATCATCAAAAACAAAAAAAAAACAAAAAAACAAAAAAAAAAACAATTTATTTAAGACAACAAAGGAATCATCAAATAATTAGATGATGATGATGATCATCATGACACTCATCCAACCAATCAAATCTATGTTGTTCTCAAAAGCTGCTTCACAAAATCCTTCAAGTTCATGTCAGAGCTTCCACCTTCATCCATGGCGGCTTTGGCCACCTCCCTCCATAACTTCATTAATACAAACCTCAATCATCTCTCTTTTGCACACTCCATCTTCCTCCATTCTCACCCTCTTCCCCACCTTCCAAACATCCTCCACATACTTCGCGTTCGTCGGTTGGTCCGACCACTGAGCCATCGCCACCAACCCCACCCCCAAGCTCAACGCTTCGAGCGACGAGTTCCACCCGCAGTGTGTAACGAAGCATCCAACTGATTTGTGGCTCAAAACTTGTAGCTGAGGGCACCATTTTACTACCAGCCCTTTTTCAGCTGTTTCGTTGATGAATTTGGGTGGAAGTTTATGAAGTTCGGATTCTCTCACGACCCATAAGAAGGATTTCGTGCTTAGCTTCAACCCTTCCGCTAACTCCTCCATTTGAGGCTTATCCAATTCGGCTGAGCTACCGAATGATACGTATATGATTGAGTTTTCGGGTTTTGAATCGAACAATTTCATGGAAGAACTAGTGTTTGATTCAAATATATATCTTAATTTCACGACATTGTTTTCTCAAAGACCTTTTTGTTTTCTGTTTCGGAAGGGACGGGAGATTTAATAATAGGTTTGAAGAGATGATAGAAAAGGGATAAGAGATCAGTAGAGGGGAGCAGTGAGAGTTGTTTTTTTGTTTATTTATTTCCGGGCTACTACAAAATCGATTGTCTTTCAATTCATTTCAAAATTTGGACCATTCATCCGGTCCGGAACCAAACATGAATCTCTTCTAATGCTTAATTATTGCAATTATTTATGGGAAATTCTGAAAACGAAAACTAATAGAAATAGTATTTTTAAAATTGATATGAACAAAATGATGAGAAATTAAAGATGGGTTATAATTTTGATGATCATACCTGTGGTTCCAAGGCATCAAAAGTGTTGGCAAAGATCCAATCAGCCTCATTCAAACGTTGAAATTGTTCATCAGCCAAATGCTTAAGAAACCCCGGATACTTCCCTTGATCCGCCATGAACGACGGCAGATCCACCGCCTCAAACACCGGAAACCCATCAACACAAATCCACCCTTTGTCCAATGGAACACTCACCCAATGCTTATAAACACTATAATAAATGGAATTGACAGCACAAGATTGAGTGAAAAACGCTGCTCCCATGACTCCAAACCGAGTCATACACCACACAACTTATGCGTTTGCTACCATCTTCATGGCGCCTCATGAGCTCCTTTAGATACACACCAATTGAATCCTTCCGCCGCTCCCACAAGGCGAGCATGCTCTCTGTCTCCGTCTCCGCTCCTTGATACGGTAGGAGAAGGACGTGGTCGACGGTGAGGGAGGGGGGAGGCGGTGGTGGTCGGAGGAGGGGTTTGTGAAAATGACGGGGAGGGTGACTTGGAGACCGACCCCTAAACCCTAAACCCTAAACCCGAGGTGCTTGGCAAATTGGAGGAGTGGGTTAATGTGGCCTTGAGCATGACATGAAATCACTACTACATGAACTTATGGGGTCTCCTTTTCTTCAAGGCTTCCCATTTTTTGCACTTGTTTTTGTTGTTGTTGTTTTATGGTTTGGGTGTTTGTGTGGGAGCTATAGGCCTTTTTAAAGTGTGTTGTGAGCTAAGCGAGTACGTCATGAAACTAAAACACTATGGTTTTTATAAGTCCTAATAATTGTCTGTGGGATCTACTATGTTTTATAAATTTTGGACGGTATTTCTTTAGTCATGAACTATTTGTCTTTGTCGATCTGGATTTGCTTCCGTTCGTCATTGATATTCTATCTTGATTGGTTTGTGTTAATCTTGATGTCTTAATTAATTTGTGTCGATCTTGATTTTCTTCGGTTCGTAATTGATATTCTGTCTTGGTTGGTTCTTTGGGAGAGACGTTATCCGAAAAAATGACATTATCTACAGGTTCTACGCTTGTATTTCTCGAGTGACATAGTTGGATGACAAGAGAAGCTCATAAAGGTACCAATGTGGATGGTCCTTATCGTGTCTTTATGCAAAAAGCTGCTCCGTACTAGTAAAGTCTTGTCTAGAAATCGAAGTTACAAGAATCCTTTTGAGGATTAATAGGCGAATTCTAGTATTTAAGTTTTCGATACAAATCAATACTCGTCAACTTTTTGGTTTAATAACTTTGAAATAATAATTATATCAATTTAAACTTTAAAGTTTTATGTATTCATTTATACGGTTCATTAGATTCAATTTATAAAATGTTAAATTAATTTAGATCATTTATTTCAAATGTACGCATAATTTTCATAAATAATAACTTTTTTTAATATGAAACTTAAATTGATTGAGTTTAATTGATATAATTATAGGTGGGCCCTTCAACAAAGATAGAAGCCTATCTTTGCCCTCTCTGGTTGGTTTGTTGTGTCTATATTGCTTATGTCTCAACTTGTCTTTAATGCCCACTCTGTGTGGTGTGTTAGATGATGCACGGTTCTCCTTAGTCGCATCATGGTGTTTGTCTAGGCCCTCGCATGGCCAGAAGGGCGCTACTTAAGGGTTGTCGCCCACTCTGTGTGGTTAATGATGCACCGTTCTCTTCGGTCGTATCATGGCGTCCATCTAGGCCCTCGCATAGCCGAATGGGCACCACTTGAGGGTCACCAATTCTCTTGTTGTAACGTGAGGGTCAAAACCTACTCTTTTCATAGTTAAGTTGTGACAATAAAAGGAATCTAATTAAGATAAATTTAATAAAGATATAATTTAGGACTTACAATAATTTTAGCCCCAATATTTTGATTGGACGGACCACAGATAAAAGAGTTGTCCAATTCTCTCTCTACGGCTTCGAATTTATTGCAGGTCAATTTTTTTAAATTATTGTAACACCCACCTTTAGGTATGGGTAAAATTTTAATTTTGCTCCCAATTGTTGGACTATATTTTAATTAATTTTTCCATTTTATGTTTATATATTCCTTTTATATGATTAATTAAGTCGGGTCAAACTCCTCGAGCAATTAGTCAAAGAATGATAAGTTGGGATTTTGAAAAGAAAAAATAAAATAAAATAAAAGTTTGTAAAAAAATTAATTTAAAATTTGTGTCAATGAATCCTTGTTCGTGAAAAATATTATTATATAGCTTAATCGAAAGTTTTATATATGTATGTTGAGAAACCGAGTATGGACCATTGCATAATAATAATCGACACTGAATGGGGTTAAGATTTATAGTAGGTTACCAACTAAAGCCAAAGTTTAAAAAGGCCAAAAACTCCTAGATTATCTTCTAATTCAAAATCTTTTGAAAAAAATATTTGCAATAAAAAAAAAATTACATTTTGTATTCTGTCCATCCTATATATAATAGACATACTCTGGGACGGAAGGATTCGAACCTCCGAATAGCGGGACCAAAACCAAGTGTTTATTCAATAAAAAAAAAACCCTTCTCCTATTGGAGAACAAACTACCATTTATAAGGGTGTGGAAACCTTCCCCTATTGGAGAACAAACTACCGTTTATAAAGGTGTGGAAACCTTTCCCCAACCGACGTGAGGGGAAATCCGAGAGGAAAAGCCCAAAGAGGACAAAATTTCAGAAAATTAAAAACTAAAAATCAAATGGAAACGTTACCTAAATTTAACATATTTAGTCCACATTTCTTTTCACCTACTCCAAACATGGAAAAAGCATTACTACAATATTACATATGTAGGTAGGTAAGTTTTCAGTTCCCAATACTTTTGCTATAACGAACACTCATACACAGCTTAAAGTCCTCTAATTTTGTTTACATGTATTTATACCCATTGAACCTTTGCTAACCTTTATAGAAACAGCAAAGCACTCCAAGGAAGCTATGAGCACAGGAACAATTTCTAAAAGTATTCCTATGTTCGGCTTGGAGATTTAACGACTTTTTTCTAACAGGTGATACGACTCGGATTTTGGTTTCGACTTACCTATACGAGAGTTCAGCAATCATCTATCAAAAAATGTGAATATCTTACCTTTGTAATTTGTTGATATTCAATATTCAAGAATTGGCGTCTTCGACCTGACTGCCCAATCTCACAATGTCTTCTACAAGAATTTTGCCATCTGTTGCAAAGAAAGAAATGGTAACACTAAGTTAAAATTTACAGAATGTTGCAGCTCTATCATCCATGTAGAGAAAGAACTATCAGACAACATTGTTTAGATTGGTAGGTTGATTTACATTGTTCGTAATATTCGAACCCCAGAAAAGCTCCATTTTCTTGCCAATAGAGATTATATGCTAACATAAATTTGACTTTGTTTCACTACCCACAGCAATGAGAAAATTCGAAACGTTCTAAGTAGAATTAAAACAACTTTGAGCAAGTTGTACATTGACTGAGGAAACTGATTTAGGAAAATCATCACCACTTATAGATTCAAATCATTCGAAGAATCAAAAGTTGGATCCAAAAAAGGTGATGAAGAGAATAAACTTTCCTTCGTCGAGAGGCAAGAACTCCCCCTATATTCAACGACGAACCGAAACCACACTCAATTTCCAATGAGTTGGGATCATGAGATAAGTTACATGCCTACCTGGTATCATTATCATTAAAGATTTAGGCCACAGCTCCCTCCAAATTTTGGACTAGCTAAATCCTAATTTCTCAACCAAAAATTTATCTGAAAGGTCATATTACTCAGAACTTTTCTCGTAAAAGTTTGGGGGGGTGGAATGTTCTTATGATCACCATTACTTTGCCATGTCAAGGTTAGCATGATACTGTCCAATGTAATCAGCATATCAGGATATAAAGAAATTGGTTTGAGAAAAAGAGAGATTTCTTGGGCACAACGAGAACCTTTGGCACAGTTTCTCAGAAAAACCCTGACCCATCTTACTAAGGAGCATTCTGAGGACAGAGAAAATAAGATCTGTAAGTTACCATGCTTACTGACATAATTTATTGCCACCAAAAATTTGTACTTCTAGTCCTACACCACACCTCATAGGACAGACCAACTGGCCAGATTTTTCATTACAAGATTAAGAACAGATCCCCCGTCATAATGAGAGGGAACAGATGAAGGGGAGAAGAGAAAATGAGATGGAGGGAACAAGAGCTATGATCGCACGCGGTACCAAGTGGTAGACTCTTTAACACCGTACACCATGGCACTACCTTTTTAAATAAACAAATAAATAAAAAGGAAAAGAAACAACAAAGATGAGGAACAGAGTGAAAATTATAGTCTGTTCTGAACGAAAATGCAAAAAGGCTAACAATAAATCAGAGAACTTCTATAATAAAGTAACCAATATACCTTTATCTTTGGAAAGACTACTGACAAGCTCTTGGATGCCTTCCTTCCCTAATGTATCTTTTAAGTACATAGCAGCAGCTGCAACCTCTTCGGGAGTAACTTTACCATCAAAATCCCTACGAGAAAAAAGCATTACCCAAGTTCAAATGTGAAACATGTAACAGAGGACCTCAGAATAATGCACCTACAAGCTTAGTTTGCTTCATTACTAAAATGAACAAAGCAATGAAAATTGAAAATTTGTAAAAACATATTCATGCTATTTAAGCAAATGTTTTGAGGAATATTCACATGACAAGCTTTGGTAGAGGTCACAGGGGAAAACGTTATAATTAGAGGTTTTTTAGTCAAAATTCCGCTCATCAGCTATTATCTGAGGAAAATAACAAATTCCACCGACCAAGTATGACAGTAGAGGGGAAATTCTAAATGCTACGAGAGAAAGATCCAATTAACAGATAAATAAGATCAGGGTTGCTAAAAAGGGAACAAAGGGTTGTCTGAAAGTGAAAGTGTGATGCCAGCATTCAAAGTCGACCAGGACCTCCATCATCATTCCATGAACCCCCAAAAAGGAGCACCGACTAGGTAGGAGATAAATAGTGAGATATTTGTAAGCTTTCCCACATGTAATAGACCAAGAAAACCCCTGACCATTTTAGATAATTTGCTTTCCATATTGCTTTGATTAATTTACTTGAAATGTATTGACCAAATTTTGTAGGATTGGCGAAAAATGATTCCAAGAAAAGAAACCAAAGTGGGCAACCATGATCTTGACCAGTGTATTAGGTAAAGAGAAGCCTTTCACTTTTTCCATCAAAAAAAGTCAATTCTTCTATCTGCATAGACCAAAACTTAGAAGAAGGAATTCAATAGTACTAAACAGATAAGTTTTTAGAACCTTCTTAATCTGAATAGAAAAATTTCAAACAAAGGGGTATCCATAGATCCAATCCAACTAAAAGCTAACCTAAACCCTAAACCCATCCTACACTTTAAATTTAGTATTTGAAAAGGACAAGTTATTTAGCTCTGCTACGGAAAACAAGTGACTACGGAAAAGGCCATGAATGAGGTTTTGTATCCAAACCATATTCATCTCATCCATAAGGAATCTTTAATGGGGAAAATAATCAAGGGAACATCAGAGAGCATAGCATAGCTCAGACCATGGTAAGTCTCTGATCACGCAAAGAATTAGTTGCATGTCTAAGGTATCAAAAGAATTTGCATGATAGCAAATAAAATGAAACAAACATACGTGTCTAGTAATTGCCAACGGTCACCAATTTTGGCATCCACATCATCAATTTCCTTTTCTAGTTTTTGAAGCATAGTATCAACCTGAAAGATGACCAAGAATGAGAATACATCAAGTCAAAAGAGCATTATGCAGACCAGAGATACAAAAAGAAGTTTAAAACTATATGAAGCATAAAAAATCTGTGAGAAGTCTCACTCTTTCAACAAGTGCTGATGAAATGTCATCTCCTTCTGACTCTTCAGTAGACTGATCACTTTCTTCTCGAGCAGCTCTATATGCCTCCCTGACCTCTTTTTCACCATCGGTGCCTTCTCTTCCTACCATGCTATTATAGAGTTCTATCTAGATATATCATGATATAATATGATAGTCACTAACAAAAGAATATCCGATCAATGAATACATAAGTAAAATAAAAGAAAGTAAGGTGCTTTTCTTTGGACAATACAAAAATGATCAAATAAGTCTGACAAATGTAGTTAAAAAATACAACAAAATCCAGAAGCTTTTTTTTTTTTTTTTTTGATCCAGCCCCCATAACAAGGGAATAACCTCTGTTCTTCTATGTTTTTCAACACAACATCCCCAAACTTTTGAAGTCCCCACCACCTTCACCCAATCAACATTCTTACACAGTCCCCCACTTCCTATATTAAGTCCTCTACGCAAGACCTTACCAGTGTAAAAAGATGATGCATCCAATCTCCATCATCATCAATCTCCTTGCTTAATACTCCAAGAAGGCATATCAATTATCATAAAGACGTTTCCAATCAATTTGAACAAACACATCCTTCCTTTCCATCACCCTTTCCTCCTAATTAGTTCTGTTTTTTGACCACGTTGTAACCCTTAACCACTTTGTGCAAAAGATAATTTTCATTATTGTCTGAAAATGTAACACCCCATGCCTAGAATTTGGATAAGGATTTGAAATCTAGATTTGACAACGGTGTGTCCTGGCATTCTCCAACATCCTTTGCAACGTGGTTATGTTACTTCTCGCTTTTAAGAGTGAAGACTATCTCAACATTCCAACATGGGTCCTTTTAGCATGCTTTTTTCTCACTTACATGCATCCTAAAAAAATTCCTAGGAGGTCACCCAACACATAATTGCTCCAAGCAAAGCAGGTTTAATTATGAAATTCCTATGATTGAACCATCGGAGAGGAATGTGCTCCTTGTTGGTATAGGAAGTAACTTTCATTTCTTTTAAGTCTTTCTTAGTCATCATATCCTCAGAATCCCTCTCATTCAGAAGTGATTTCAATTCATTCATGTACCCCTCCTTTACTCGGGTGTCACATGCCCACCAGCCTCTACCTTGGTTCGTCCCCGAACCACATCATATTGGGAGAAGTATTGCTCTGATACCATTGGTAACAATCCATCCCCAGGATTCGGATTAGGATTCGAAATTCGAATTTGACACTTAATGGCCCTGACATTCCCCTGCATCCCCTACGACATAATCATGTTACGTACTCTCGCTTTTAAAAGTGAAAACTATCCCCACAGACCAACATAAGTTCTTTCAGCATGCTTTGTCATCACAGGAAAATTCACAGGAGGTCACCCAACATAGAATTAGTCCAAATAAAACACATTTAACTATGAAGTTTCTATGATTGAGGCATCATAAAGGAAGATGCACTTTGGATTGCTATGCCCACTAGCTTCTACCTTAGTTCGTCCCCAAACCATATCAGGAGAGGTTCTACTCTGAAACAGCCAGCTTCCCAACACCCTTGTTTTACCCTATTGGAACAATGTCACTTCATACCATCATTGTGAGGATGGTAATTTCAATGAACCAACCATTGTGATTTGATAATTTCTGCCCCATTGGTGCTTGATCCAACCAAAAGAATTGCTCCTATCACATTCTAATATATCAAAAATATATTTTTTTTTTTCTAATAAATGAAGGAACATCTAGATTCACTAATGTAAGCTCACTACATCTGCCAAAATTCATGGAATCTCCCATGCTTAAACAACATTTTCACTTTACAAGAGAGAGAGCATCGTGATGTCTGTTAGTTGATACATATCAATCACTAACAAATAAAAGAATTTAAGAGAACCAGAGAGAAAGAACAGACAGGGTAGGGGCTCTGTATCCTAGCATTCAAATCAATGTCAATTGCTCTACCAATAGAGTGCTAATTACCAGATTCGCTGATCTATATAACCAGAAAGCTATAGGCATGCATATGTTATGCAACTGAAGTATACCTCCTTATTCACAAGCTGCAGGAATTCTTCACGCTCTCTACTGACAGACTGCATGTACATAAGCAACATGAATAAGATCAAAGACAAGCTTATCCTTGAAAATTGTTTGACGAAAACAAAGTGAGTTTACTATTAAACCAAGAGCTTAGTTTTCATTTTCTTACAGAGGCAGAAGCTAAAACAGCCAACGCACGACTGACTTCACAGAGGTGCTCTTGTTTTTCTGAAGCTTTTGCTCTAGCTTGTTCTATAGCTTCTCTTGTCATGGGGTTGACCATCTCCTTCAGAGCTATATCTTCTTGGCTGGATTTGGATTCCTTCATTTTAGCTTGTTCCTCTTCTTCTTTCTCCTCCTCCTCCTACATGCAGAAACAATTTGCTGAGACTTCAACCGAGAAACTGAATCGACACTTTATATTGGTTCAAATATAAGTTTAAAATGCATAGAAGCTAGAAGCATTGCCTAAGCTCATAGAGTGTATGCTTTTGCAAAGTGGAAATAACAAAGAACGGCCGCCATGAATGAAGACAATATAAGTGCCTTGTGCAACATATTATAACAAGGACAACTAAGGAGGATTCTGATAGTTCGGAACTTAAAAGTAGAAAACTTTTCACTTCTAAAAAACCAATAAAAGTACAACCTTGATCATTTCCTCCTGCATTTCAAGGAACTCTAACTTTCTCCTCCTTTCTGATATGGAATCTTCAGATGGCAAAGCAGTTACGCCCACAGTATCTACAACCTCATCTGGCAGAGAAGACAGTGTAGCCAGGACAGCTTCCTCTGGTTTCACCTTTCCAGAAACTGTGAATGCTCTGAGAAAGGTACAAAACAAGAAATTCATAATGATGTGAGCAACAGATGGGCTGAACATATGAAGTAAAGAAACAACTGATGTAACTTCAAATCACCTTGAAAGGATCAAAAGTGAAGAGGGAACAGAATGGTTAAGCGACAGATCCAACCAATCACGAAGCTGCAATTGAGTTGGCAACAAAATAAGAACACAGACTCTAGTCTAGTCTAAAACTTAGCATCTAATCAGGAATTTAGATTTATGGTTTATATCAAATCACAGTGTTTACAACCTATCAAACAATTTTCCCTTTTCAAGTTTCAACTGCTTCCAGAAAAAGAAAAGAAAATGGTGTAAAAGAAAAGTACCAGTTGCAAACACTTCAGGGTTACAAATACAAATACAATCAATCAAATCCCATCGATCATTTTACAACAAATTATCAAAAGCAACTTATATGCAAAATGGTCAGGACCAAGGAACCTGTTGCCGCATTTCTTCTACTGAGAGCAACCCAAGCATGCCCCTCTCCCGACAATCTTCACGAAGCTCAGATTCAGAAAGGGACTCCACCCCCTCTGCTTGTATTAATTTATCGTCTTCCTTTATCCTGCAGAAAAACAAATTAACACAATTTTTCCGGTAGATACATTTTTCCTCTAATAATTCTTACACTGTCGTTAAGATTTTAATCCAGTTCCAGTATGTAACCCTCTTGCAGATTTTTTTTTTTTTG